ATATGTATATATATATATATATATATATATATATATATATATATATATATAGTGATTATCCAAATGAACACAAATATTTCCCCAAAATTCCTACAAAACCTATAAGAAGTAATTAATTCAGCAAACGCTGAGGAAACAAAATCAAACTACCAGCATCAGTAGCATAGCTATGCACAAAGAGAAAGCACACTTTCAACCAACCAGAGAAGAGGGAATATGCTTGGGCACAAGCATAGGCCACACGTGCTAAGTCCATGTCCTGCTGTCACTTCCTGTTGTCACTTCCTGTTATGCTGCTGCTGAAAGCACAGCCGTTACAGCCAGTGTGATTTCCAGTGACACACTGCCAGAGAACACACATGGAAGGCTTGGTCACCCAGGGCAATGCCAAGGGTGGGCCCAGAGTGGCAACGGAATCGTGAGAGCACGGTCTTCAGGAATGGATCATGCCATGGACAAGCTGGTCATTGATGCTTACTAGGCCATGGGGCTCAGTGGAGAAAGGAGGTCGGCAGAAGGTGCACTCCCCCAGCCCCATGTCTCTGCTGGGCTCTTCCTAGTACCAGGAGCTCGGCTGCCCTTCCCTGCCACACCCGCCCACATGAGCTTCTGTCCTGGGTCCCAGCCATCACTGGATGGAAACCTTGGACCCATGAGCTGAAACCTTTCCTTCTCTGAGTGGTGCATGCCAGGAATTTTGTCCAGCAACAAAAAGGTAGCCTGTGCAATCAGGAAAGCTATGAATGCGCTGGTCCCCAGTCTGTTCAATGCTGTGTGAAATCCTTGTCTAACAAAATGGGCAAAAGAAAGAAAGTACAAGACACCCACTTTGGAAGTGAAGAAGCAAGTCTGTTTCTGTTTGAAGATGAGAGGGCTTATACACATAACCTTTCAAATCTATCACACTAACAAATGAGTTGAGTCAAGTTGCAGGACCCAAAATCTGCATGCCAAAGTTGCTTCTGTTTATTATGCTTATAACAAAGTATCTGAAAAATAAATTCAGAAGCAATTCATAAATTTAACACAGGTGTGGAAAGACAAAACAAAAATGATGAAATATTAACAAAAGAAAATGAAGATACAAATCTATGAAAAGATTTACCATGTACATGCACTAGAAAAATTGTTGATCAAAATGTCCTAAAGTGAGCTATGGCAGGGGCTGGGAAGATAGCTCAGTTGAATAAGTGCTTGCCTGGCAAGCACAAGGGCCTGAGTTCAATCCCTGGCTCTGCAATAAAATAAAATGGCCTATGGATTCTGTGCCAATGATCTTTTAATTTTAATTGAAAAGTTACAGGCAAAAGCAGGCCAAGTTTACAGCATCAAAGCAAAGATCTTTACTGCAGCAAAGGAAATAATCAGCAGTGAGAAGGTAACATAAATAGAAGCACATATTTGCAAACCATCCATTTTTTAAGAATCAATACCTAAAATACATAAGCAAATCAACTCTACAGCAAAAGAATACATTATAAAATCAAAAATGGGGAAAGAACATGAAAACACATTTCTTAAAAAAAAAAAAAAAAAAGGACCGGAGAGATAGCTCAGTGGACTAAGTGCCAGCTTTGGCAAGAGAAAGGACCAGGGTTCGATCCCTGTCCCGCATGCCACGCCAGCCCTTCCCCTGCAGTGCCCTGAGCCAGTGAATTAGTCAGGCCGTGTTGTTGCACGCATGTAATCCTAGTGCTAGGGAGGCTGAAAACAGGAGGATCACTATGAGTCTGAGGTATGTAGTGAGACCCTGTACCAAATACATAAATGAAAAAAAAAAGATAAAAATATTAGGACATTCCTACCATCAATAAAAACAAAACTACACTTCTGTATCGCCTCCCCCTATGTGAATCGAATGCCTACCAAGAAGAGAAGCACTGGCGAGGGAGTGGAGAAAAGGAAACACTTCTGCTCGCTGCACAATGTCAATTTTACAAGATCATGGGAAACATGGCTGAGAGTTTACAAAAGCTAGTAATTGAGTCACTGCATCCTGCTCCTGAGTATTCACTGATGGATGGAAAAAGGGACTGTCACACACACACACACACACACACACACACGTGAATATTTTTTAATCTTAAACAAAAATGCCTGGTATACTACTTATATCATGGTGGCTATAGTTAATAATGCTATATTTTACACTCAGATTTGTTGGAGCAAGCTTTAAATGTGTTCACCATTTTTGTATCTGTATATACAAAAATGGTGTGTATACTATGACATTGTGCAGCGAGCAGAAGTGTTACCTTTTCTCCACTCCCTCGCCAGTGCTTCTCTTCTTGGTAGGCATTCAATTCACATAGGGAGAGGCGATACAGAGGTGTAGTTTTGTTTTCATTGATGGTAGGCATGTCCTAATATTTTTATCTTTTTTTTCATTTATGTATTTGGTACAGGGTCTTACTACATACCTCAGACTCATAGTGATCAGATAGATATACAGCTACTTTCTCTTAATTCATTGAGAAGAAAGATTTGTACTAATAGTGTTTGGACAGGATATCATGTCTGCATCTTATACTATGAATAACCACTACAAAGACAGCGATACACATGTATTAATTATTTAAACTGTCCTACTAATCGCTTTTGAAACTGTCTCATTGCTATTTGTTTCTCAATAAAATTAATTAAAACAATTAAAATATAACTGTCAGGTGACAGGTAACTTGATTATATGGTTGGGGTTATTATTTCACAGTGTCTTTGAAAGATTATGCACTGTAAATATATGTAATTTCACTTGTCAGGTATCCCTTAGTAAAACTAGGCGAGGAAGGACCAGCAAAGCATGGCTCCCAAAGAAGTGGCAGCTCTCCAGGTACCCAGGACACACTCACTGGTGACAACAGCACCAGCGCAGGGCAGATGGGCAGCACGGCAACTTGTAAGATCAGAACGGGCATGGCTAGACATACTGTGTAGCGTCCCAGAGATCTGTCAGGGAATAAAAACTGAAAGACTGATTCTAAAAAGAAAACAAAGGGCCAGTGAGATAGCTCAGGGGACTAAGAGCCTGCTTAGGCAAGTGCAGGGACCAAGGTTCAATCCCTGGCACCGTACGCCTTGCCAGCCCCACCCCCAGGGTGCACTGAGCTGGCGACCGAGTCCGGGAGTGGGGGCACATGTCTGTAATCCCAGCACTGGGACCCTTGAAAACAGGAGGATCAAGATGAGTCCAAGCTGTGTAGTAGACCCTGCACAAAATACGGGGGGGGGGGGGGAGAAAAAAGTGACAGAGATTTGTCTACCATGATGACAGCTTCCACAGAAAGTGGGAAGGTGGCACAGAGTCACTGAGGTCCAACACCGGTGGAGGAAGGAGAGGGGGAAGGGCAGGCACTTCGGCTGCTTTGGGAACCGGTGAGCCTGCTTCTAACAGACGCGCAACAGATCAGACAAGCAGAGGTCCTGTTACTTGGTTTACCCCTGTCTTGATATCAATAGAACCACACAGAATGAAAGAAAATGATGAAAATATTGTCAGTGATGTGTTGGAGGTTGAAAATTTCTGTTCTATCTTGGAGGGCAGGGGAGGATACTGGGAAATGAAACCAGGACTATCAACCCACTTTCTATTTTTTTCTTTTATTTTGAAATAAGGCCTTGCTAAGCTTTTAAGTTGCCCGGGATGGACTTGAAGTTGGGATCCTCCTGTCTCAGCTTCCTGAGGACTGGGATTCAATCTCTGAAGTAGGCCCAAATGAAGCCCTGTTTTTAACATAAACTATTTCTTATAATTCTCTCCTGAAAACCAGTGTAAAAAAAAGACACATAACAACAGACAGAGGTAAAGGTGTTTAGAGATGAATTTATTATAAGAAAAAGAACAACAGATGCTGACCTCAGACCACATGATGGTGGGACAAAGGAGTTTGAAGTCACCGCCAAAGCAGGCAGCCACCAGGTCTCCCTCAGACAGAGAGGCCGCCCTGAGAGCCTGGGCCTCCTCGGGCCCCTCCCCTCCCTGTCTCACGACTTTAGCTTTCCCAGGAAGAGCACACAGCCCAGCTGACCTGCCCTGCACACGGCCCTGTGCTCCTGTCACGAGCACCAGGAAGGACGCAGCCATCAGGAGAAGGTCTCAAGCTCAAGCTCCTGCTCCTCGGGATTCCTAGGCAGGAGAGCGAAGCAATAAGCGCCCCAAACATGGGGCACCAAGCCCAAGAACAACGCCCTGAAATGCAGACCTGAGGAACCCCGCGCAGGGGTGCTGCCCAGGCCCAGCTCGGCCAGCTTCACACCTCGGGGCTCCACCCCTTCGGCTGCCCCTGCTCACCTGCAGAGGCGGTGCTCCAGGGAGCAAGCCCGCAGAGCCAAGAGGTGCTGCTGTGTGCGCCGGCGCCCAGCTGACCCGTCCCAGCGGCCGCTGACAAGGCCGCCCGGGATGGCACCGTCTTGCTAAGAAGGCGTCGTGCACAGCCACTGCTTCTCTCCCGTCTCGGTCTTTCCAGGTCCTCGCCTGGGCATCGCCCACACACACGGGACTGAAGGTTTGTTCGAGGCAAACGTCGCGGGATCTGGTCCCATCTCACTCGGGGCTCCACCCCAAAGAGAGCAGGTGACATCAACAATGCTGCCTCTAGCTCAGTATCCGACCTGCTCTTGGTCTTGTGATGTCCTCCTGGGCGGAGCCAGGCCACGCCCTCCCCACCACATGCCCTGTGCCCCGAGCCTGGCACTGCCCACGCTCAGCAGGGCCTGACATGTCCCGCGCTCTGCTAGTCCTGCAGCTCATGGCGCGACCCCAGCTCTGTGACAGCCTCCTTCCCTCCCAGGGCTTCCTGTGGCTCCTGCTGCTGGGCCTGGGGCTCCTGCCTTCTCCAAGCTCTGCTACTTGCGGTAGGCCCCCCTCATATTCCAATATGGAGCCTGATGCCCCTCTTAAATATGCCTACCTTCCTATGGAACGTATAAATTATCGATGCAAACCTGGATACCGTAGTCGCCCTTTCCTAATCACCCTTGCCATTTGCGGGCCCAATGGTCAGTGGTCACCTGTGTCCACGGATGCTTGCTATAAGAACTACTGTGACCTCCAGGTGGATCCTGTACATGGACAAGTCATCCTGGTGAACAAAAGCTATGAGTTTGGATCACAAATTCAATTTGTTTGTAATGATGGCTTTTACTTAGTTGGAAATGAGATTCTCCATTGTCTGCTGAACGGATCCAAAGTGCACTGGAGCGGGGAAGCCCCATTGTGCGAGAAGGTGTCATGTCAGCCACCCCCACAAATACCAAATGGAGGCTACTCGAGTGCGAAGGATGTGTTTCAGTATCTTGAGTCTGTTACGTATTCCTGTAGTCGCAGTGCAGGCCCTGAGGAGTTTTCGCTGGTGGGAGAGCGTAAGCTCTTCTGCCTTGGCCAACATGTGTGGAGCAGCAGCCCCCCTGAGTGCAAGGTGGTCAGCTGTCCACAGCCGGTGGTCCTGAATGGAAGGCAGAGGTCAGGCTTTGGAGTGAAGCATTCCTACAGGGCCAGGGTTACCTTCGAGTGCCTTCACGGCTTCTTCCTGCACGGGAACAGCACGGTTGTCTGCTCAGCTGACAGCACCTGGCAGCCCCCGGCTCCACAATGCCGCGACACACCCCCAGCAAGAGGCCTCCACATGCCAGCATCTCCAAAGGTCTTCCTAGCTCTGAGAGGGCGGGCAGGTGGACGGCGGTTCTGACTGCTGTCTACTTTGTCACAGTTGTGGTATTTTGTACATACCTGTACAACTTTATCAAAAGCAGGAAATAAGGCAGCACAGAACTTTGAACTAAATAGATCCATTACCAGAAGGAGTCAAGCACTGTATCAGAGCAAACTGATTTTTTTCCATAAACTGGCCTGCCCATATTTTAAAAATCTATTAAAATCTTCAGATGTGCAAAAGTTATTCTCTAATTTCACTCTTGTGAAGGAAGCTGAGTACAGTGCCAGTACTGTAACGTGCCAGGCATGAGGGTGTCATCCTTCCATGCTTCCTGTGGTCATCTGCTGGGGTATGTGTGAACTGCCTGTGGGCAGAGAGCTAATGAACATGCCACCAGTGGCAGTAAGGAAACTACAAAATCCAAAAACTTAAGTAAACATAGTACAAAAACAAATCATATGTCATTTGTAAAGTAAATTATTTTGGGATCTGGTTTTGAATCTTAGACTGATAGCAACTCTTTATTTTCATGATTCCAATAATTCTGAAATATATATATATATATATATATACACACACATATATAGTTAATTGTGAAACAAAAAGCCTACACAAATTTATGTGACTACTTTAGCTCTTATCTATCAAAAACATGAACTTGGGAATCAGAAATATGGAGAAGATTGATTTGCTTGAAAAGGTATATTATTAGAATTCTGTAAATATCAGGAATATTGGATTCTTCTTTTTGACAGTTGGTGATTTAAAGAAGGTTGGAGCTTTATGGTGGCATGTTTTTATCACTTTCGTAAACATGGATAAATTGGTGAAGGAACAAGCAGGGTTTCAGAATCTGGTGTGTATCTTCATGGACAGTCAGGAGTCCAGCGGCCCGAGCAAAGTCTTCTGGTTCCTGGTTACAGTGGCAGCAAGGCTTCCCGCCCTGCTCAGGATCCCAAGCCCTGAGAACCCATCCCAGACCACAGCTAGCAGTGCCCCTGGGTCTGCAGAAACTGCGAGCTCCAGCGGTAAGCATGCCACCTACAAGGAGGCAGTGGAGCTGAACTTCACCCGATGAACTCAAGTTGTGTCAGAAACTTAGCCTGGTGAGTCACTGCCGAACGGCCCCTCACACTTCCTATCTTCCCTCCACTCAGCTTACATTTTTACTTAACCTCCCTCAGAGACCTGATATCCTTTGACTGTTATGCCCACTGTCCCATATGAGGACACTGAGACTTAGACAGCAGTTGTTGCCCCATGCCACGCCGGAAGCCTAGGGCCCTGGCACTTCTACACTGCCAGCTGCTGGAGTGTGACAAGGGAGCCTCCGCTGGCTCACCATCACCCCCTAACTCAAATTTGCCCTTGACTGAAGCATAGTCAGATTGGAGTCAGAAGAAACTACAGGTTGCCATTGAGGACATAATAAGACTAATGTCATTTTGGATAAGAGATTATCTATTTTGGAGGAGGAGGGGCTGGACACTGAACGTAGAACACTCACATTAAGCTACACCCCAGTCCTTATTTATTTTTACTGTCAGACAGATCTCTAAGTCACTAATTTTCCCAGGTGATGCTCAAGAACAGTGACCCTACTAGCTCATCCTCCTGCAGTGCTGGGGTCACAAAGTGTGTGGGGAACCACTCAGACTGCCTCGAAGCTCAGGGGTGTCTGAGGATACCTGAGGACGTGAGCCCCCTGGTACAGGCGCACAGTGGGATACAGTTATACACATGGCTCAGTGTGGGCAAGCACGCATGCACTGGCTAGGGCACCATATAAGAATGTGAGTAGGAGAAAACAACCTGTGTAGCAGTTATGAACAAAGGCACAGGCAGCTCTTGTACTGTTGTGCTCTTGCACTCTGCTCTGCCCCATGCTAACTGCTGTTGTTGCTAAAAACAAAAAATACCCTTCAGCTATAGCATTGACCCTGCCAGCCAAAGGCCCTTAGGTCTTTGTACCCTTCCTTCCCTCGTTTTCTGAAAGGCTGAGTAAAACAAGGCTTTGCTCAGGGAGGATGTGTGCCTCTGTGCACCCATCACTGGTCACTCTCCTGAGGGGAACAGTTAGCACAGTGGGGTGGCACCTTGCGTGAGCTGGAAGGGCTCTTCTCACTGCCACAGGGCCTCCTTCAAGGAAGTCAGGAGCCAAGAGGAGGCCAAGGCTCCCACTCACGCGTCACATGTGCAAGTTGTGGTTGAAACCTGGTGTTCAGAGGGACAGTTGGCCCAGAGAGTGTTGCCCCAGAGGAAGCAATTACAGACTCAAGAGTGGGTCCAAATAGCACTATTTTGCAATATGAAGACATATTTACTATGCATTATTTTGTCCTGTTTAATTTCTGAAGACATACTTTAGAAAAATAAAATTGGAGCCAGGGAGATAGTTCATTAGAATAAACGCTTGCCTGGCAAGCACAAGGTCCTGAGTTCAATCCCCCATACCACAAAAAAGAAAGAAAGAAAGAAAGAAAGAAAGAAAGAAAGAAAGAAAGAAAGAAAGAAAGAAAGAAAAAAAAAAAGCAAAAGAAAATTTGTCCAGAAATGCACAGGAATTCTGCATCAAGCATGGCCACAGTTTAACTGTATCTATGTCCACATACTTTTTAAGGAAGTAGAAACTGGTTAGAAATAAGGGATGTCTATTTTGTAGCTTCTTAAAATATATTTAGAATGAAGCCTTTTAGAGATAGATGAGAAGCTTATTACCATTTTCAAATACAAAATAAAAGACAAAATACAGATAATCATGACTAAATTAAAATCTGGAAAAAGTATTGACAGAAATTTTCTAATTATATGTAAGTTATAGAAATATTTTTCATTTTTCTCTAATTTTCAATTTCATATTAAATAATGACATACACATGCAGTGTAAATGTGTATGTGTGTGTACATATGTGTATATATTTGCATGTTGATCAAATGCACATGTTAAGCAGTTCTACGAAGACTTAGGCTGAACCTTTTCCCTTCAGCCTCACAGCCCCAGGTCAGCCCTTAGTACAGACCCCTGTGGTCACAGACGTGGTTCCTGCTCCTGCTCTTCTGGATCTGGGAACCAATGTGCTAAGAGATTCCTTCAGAAAGCAGTGCAGTTGGCTCATGGATGTGATATAATTTTGTCCCCTTTTACTTTCTTGTGTCTTTTTTCTCCATCTTCACAGCCCTAGCTAGCAAAGACAGGTAGATCAATATCTATACTCCCAGGCTCCAGGATTTTTCCCCCTATTTCTAAGCCAATAATGATAAATCAGAATTGAGCAGCCCTCAGTGGCAGACTATCCTTACAAGAGACACCCGGCATGCACCCCGAGGTGCATGCTCCATCGACTGCTCTCTTAGGAGAGTACCAGAGAACATCTGTACAGCTTGAGAAGTGTTCCCCCTCTAAGACCAGTCACCAAGCCTGTTTCTCCAGCCATGTTCCCACATCTAAGCAGCAGAAGACCTGCAGGGCCAGCTCTGTCCAGACAACTGCATACCACGCACAGGGGATCAGTCCCGTGGTCTTCACACCCAGAAGTGACGCTGTCCAGTCACAATGCGCCAGGGCCTCTTGTTCAAACCAAAAGAGACCTCGGGCTCCAGGTGAGTGTCAGGCATAGAACAAAAACAGCTGAACATAGACAATTCATAACATTGTGAAAACAACATACTATCCCACACTGAGTGATATTAATTTAAGCAGAAAGTCAAGCAGAAAAATATGAAAAAAGAGGGAAAAGCAATTTCCTAGGTGCAAATTTACTATTTCTCCAAAGCATAAGATCTATTAAAACGTGTTCCTCTGTTTGCAATTATGAGATGATTTCCACCACATCAGCATTCACACATCTTGGAAATGATGTCAGGTTTTGGAGAGAACATGGAGTGTTTTAATTCCTGCTTCTGAGAACATGTCTCCTCCAGGGACTCGAACACTGCAGTCACAGGCTCTGGTGCAACTCGCGCGTCTTCCCGGCACGCTGTCAGGATTCGTCCAAGCTCATCTGCTTTGGCGACATACCCCGTGCCAGGAGGTACCAAGACGCTTGTTTTCTTGAACATCTCCCAATTTTTACTGTTTCCAGTTACTTGTTTATAAAGTCTAAAAGACAGAACTTCGCTGAAATGAGGCCGCTCTCTCCAAAGCAAGCGGTCATTCTGCAGTGACAGAAAATGGGCTTCCATCTACAGCCCTGCGCAGGTAACTTGTGATCAGACAGCTCAAAGTTCATTTGAATACAAGCATGTTTGCCAGGAAGACTTAATTAGATAGCACGGCCATGAGGAAGCGCTGCTGAGCCATACCCGTGGTGGGTATTGTTAGCAGCAGCGAGGAATGATGGCTGCAGAAATGGATTCTATAGCGCTGGAAATAGGGCATCCTTGTGGACCAACACAAGGTAAATTTGTGAGGAAAAGGTTGCTTCCAGTGGCTGCAGAACGACCGCTTCCTCGAGGCTGAAGCATAAATTTTAAAGCTAGTGTATTTAAGTGGGCAGGAATCCACTGATGATCCATAAAAGGCATGAGCGCAAAGGAACACTGAACTTAGGGTTCAAATGAGAGGAATAAAACTACGAGGAGGAAAGGGACTATGAAGGAAAAGGCTCCAGGACTTCTTATAGCCTCCCAGTCCTAGACGGCAAACGCAAGTCTCCGCTGTGCCCCGCTGCTGCGGGCTGCCCAGCTAGCATCTGAACGGCTCCCGTCCTGCCCTTGATCTCCCTAAATTGCTTCTCCCCGTGGCCCTTATCCCCATGCTGAATAATTAACACCGTTCTCTCCAGGTCGGCAGGCTCCATGCCGTAAACACAGCCGTGCCCTTGGCCCTCCGGCCCAAGTCCTTGTGCACCGCCAGTCCTGTCCTAGCGCAGCACGGCTCTCACCGTGCTGCTCGTGCAGTGCGCATGAGTTCCTGTAAATTCAATCCTCCAGCAGAGTAGCGCTACTGCAGTCGTGACAGTGTCTCTACCCCGCAAAGACACTGTCTCTTGCGGCTCCCGATGGGATGTTCCAGAGGTGGCTCAAACACCGGA